TATGTCAAACTCTCTAAAAACTCTTTCCTCATAATGTGTCACAGAAATTTCATCTGTCTCTTTCTGAATATACATAACTTTTTGTTTCCTTCTCCCTTAAAACTTCTTCGTTGCTAACATGTTCCGTCCATGGCATTCTCAGCATTCACTCCTATAAAGGAGAAGTGATATTAAATAGCGGTTCAGCACTCCTTTCTTTGTGTCTAAGAAAATTTCCAGTTTATTAATATTTTGTTTAGATTTTGAAAGACATTTAAATATAGCATCGGATTGTGGTGTGACATTTTCCACCATCTTTTAAACCATTTCTCAGACAATTATATTTTTTATACTTGCTTGATTTTGACAGCATCAATTTGTAGTTCGGATCTTGGGCGATTCCTCTTAGAGACAGGCATGCATTTTGTTTCCTATCATTGAGTGTTATCCCTTCCTTGTTACCTTCCTTTGCGACATTTTCGAAGTGGTCATACAGTTTTCCTTCAGTGTATACCATCACCATCCCATCCTCTGCGTATCCTATGCTGTTACATTTCTACTCACCAATTATATATCTTGGTATGACGTCCTCTTCGGATTTCTTCGTTGTACAGGTGAAATACATCGGGTGAGAAGACGCAAATTTGTTTTACATTGTCTTCAATTTTATGGCGCTTATTAAATTCATTTTCAATCCTTATACACTTGGTTCTTCTCCCAGTATATAGTATGGGTTATTCTAATGTCTTTCCCCTAAACAGGCTTAGATTAATTTAATAAAACGGATTGTTGTTGATCAATAAGATTGATGAGATTTGATGTAATGTGTTTGAACCACACTAAACATTCTTTTACTCTGTGTTAGCCCAGGATCGTCGAAGAGATCTTTTGCATAGCATCCCGTATGCTGCGCGAACGGCCTTGATTCGGTTTTTCAGCGGCTGCATTTGATGTTATTACGCTATCAAGGTATAGAAATTGTTCAACATTCTACAGATGCAGTCCAGTTATGGCGATTTAGACTCCAGTTGATGTCCCGGTCGTAGTTGGAGCAGGTCCTTTGTCTTTGCCACGTTGATGGTTATTCTGTAGCGCATGTACACCCTGGAGAAGTTTGTCCACTCTGGAGGTCTTCGATTTCATGGGCCAAGATACAGTTGTCATCGGCATATTGGAACTCTCTCTACGTGGGTTTGTTGTTCGAATCCTGGCCCGGGGGTGACCTATGTTGAAGAGGCCACCATCGGTGCGATATTGTGGGCCGATTCCAGGGTTGTCATCTGGAATTTCTTGAAGCATCGCCACTAACTGGATGGAGAAGAGGCTAGGAGCAAGTACGCACAATATTACTCTAACTCTGTGCAAGTGATTTTATTAAACGTGTACGAATGTCTTAAATTAAACATTATCTCGGCATGACTATCCGGGATAATGAGTTATCATTCACATTGTTCACAGCTAAACTAATATTCACATCTTTGTTATTGTTATCACAACGTTTCGGTGACAATCGATCCGCTTGATATTCAGGGAATTTCAAATTAAACACTTTATTTAAACTACGGGTGTAGATATTCCACGTTTCGCTGTTTCTCTCTACAATTATAATTTCTTGTTCTATTTATTGCTTCTCGATTATTGCAATACTGTTTCCATTCAGTATTCCATTTATACTACCCTTCAAAAGGATTGAAGAACAAGACAATATATCCGTAGATATTTGAAGCAGAACTAGAAAAAATCTATTCACAAAGATTAAATAAATGGTTCAATTCAAAATATCCTGAGTTTACACTTCCCTTTTCAGGTATTCAAGAACAAGAAGATATATCCGTAGATATTTGCAGCAGAACTAGAAATAATCTATTCCCAAAGATTAAATAAAGAATTTAATAAAGGGTTCAATTCACAATACCTTGAATGTTTGCCGGATTATTTGGCATCTGCAAAAGGCTGGAGTGCACAATGTCCGAAAATAATGTCATAATTAGAACAAAAAAAAGAAGGATATTAGTTTGGCTATAAATGATGCAAATACCTACAACACTACAAAGAAAAGATTTGGGTGTCTTTAAAATGGTTGATATGACTTCTACTTCTCCGTGGAGTGTGTCATCAGAACGTGAATAATCAGACACTCTATAAGATGCTCACCATTATGGAGAATTCACTGGAGAAAGATATTTATATCAGGAAACTCACCTTTTTGTTATCATATATTTGCAAAAGAATCATTGCATCAAATCAAACTTATCTCTGCATTAAACACGGAGAGATAATTTTCAAATCAATGACACTTTCGTTAACTTTTTCAGATCTAGGAATAAAAACAAGACTAGATATCGATGGACAGAGGATCGAGAACAATCTATCGCCGGAAGTTCATCAAGAATTCATTTCGAAATTTTCTGAGGATTATCCTGATGAACATCCACTTAAAGGTAGCCGGGTTGCCAAAAAGAAAACAAAAGCACAAAAAAAAACGATTCTTGTGATAATAACAACAAAGACGAATATAAATTATCAATATTTTAAATTAATAGGAGTAAATGGCTTCGTAACAGGATTAGATAGGTTCACTTATCCTCCGGTTCACACGGCTAACTGGTCTCGTGAACAAAAGTAGAAGGT